AAACTGAGGAGTGGCAGGACACTTGCTGAAAAAGCTCCGTGAAAGATGTTTTAAACCCTGCTCCAGGACAGTCTCCTAAGTGATTATCAACTCACCATAAACTGCTGGGAGAAATTATAATCTCAGTCTTGCTCTTCATTCTGGTCTTTGCTAGTTACTTTATCCCGGACACTGTCGTCACTACCTCTAATATAGTGAATACAACTACACCCTGCAGTTTCTACACTACACACCCTTCCCCTTTGAAAAGGGAGGCCAGAGAACTATGTTGGTTCACCATAACTAGTCTAGGTTGAATTAAATTAACTTTGTATCCTGAAAGTTCTTAATACTCCCTGCCTTCTCACAGCTCAAAAGTTAGTTTCATTTATCTCTAAATTTAACAAGACCATTTGCTCCAACTGTTTTATTCTCCTTATGCCACAAGTAGCTGCTTCAACCTGGTTAGAACAAATTCTCATACACAAAATGCAGATTCTTCTTAGAATGCCATGAGTTTTAACAAAATATTAATGAATCTTATGATATATTAGCATACCACCTCCAGAAGTAATGACTATCTGAAGACTGCAATTTTAAGAGTCTATCTAGTTTCTTTTTGGCAAATACAAAAAGACACTCTGGAGCATGCCTTTATTTAACAATAAGAACTCAACCTACTTTTTTTTCAAGATTTTGAGACATATCCTTTGTGGCTTTTGAACAAAGTATTAGTAATGCAAATCTAAGGATGTATCCCTTATTCCCCTGGATGATTCAGAAATACTTAACCTCTGCACACAATTTCCTTCCCAGCCCCCAGCTCACCCTGGCAAACAGCAACAGCCTTTTTTCAACTGCAAAGACTTAATACAACATTTGCTGCTCCTTTCATAAAATTAAAGACTATTGTACAAATGCCTCTAATTAGACAGACTCTAAAGTCACAGGTTAGCAGTCTATATAGTAATCTGTATTTTCATGCCATCTCCAACCTCTCCCCTGACACACTTCTGTCTTACTATTTTGTATATTCTTCCACCTTATTTGTTAAAGACTTTTCTTTCTTCTGGGCGAGTCTGAAGATGACCCTAGTTCATTGCTTCTAGTCTTCCATTTCCAGTTTGCTTAAGAATATTTTCTGCCTTCCCACTTCTGCCACTGTATCTTAGGTAGCATTTATAATGAATTTAGCTAATTCCCTGAACCACAGGTGGAACCTGAGGAGGAGGGAGCTCTTAGCTTTCTAATCTGCGTGTCTCCTGGAAATACTACATTTTCAGCTGGCTTTTTTTTGGTGGAGCTCTTCGTCTCTGTTATACTTACCCACTCTCTGCCAAGGAAACTACTAGTCCCACCCAACACCCACATCTGCCCCACTGCCCCAGGTGCCACCAACACACACACTCCGATGTGGAAGTGCACAGGGCAAAAGATCAACCATGTTGCTCTTGAAGCAATTCTTGCTGCCTTGGACTACCTGACTAACCAACCTGGAAACACCGCACACATTTTTGTCCACCGTTATCGGTATGAGTTACCAATGTGCTTGAATCCACTGCAGCCACCAAACTGTAGATTCTCAATTTTACTGTCTGTAAAACAAACAAGCCCCCTCCCCCACAAAAAGCTCTTCCACCTCACCCCCACTTTCTTCCCTGTATTTCATGGATGCAACTATAGTCCAAGTGAATAAAGTGGTTTTGACAGACTTGCTTCAATTAACTGATGAAATAGACTCTCAAGTACCACTACTGTGTAATTACTAAACAGACTTTTACATCTCAAGCCTAAAAAAGGCCGTAACTTGACCATCCAGCCCAACCTCCTGCATAATATCTACCGAAGTGTTGCTCCCAGTAACCACAGCACTATAGCACAAGATCCAAAATTGACTTGAAGATTTCAAGAGAACTAACCACAACCCCCATTAACCTGTGGCAAGTTTTGAAATTTCCCCCCCTTGAACTGTGTTCCTGGGTTCTACCCTATTTTATGATGATTCTAAGATGATCCCGTTTCTGGCTAATGAAACTTTTTTTCCTGCTATGCTTACACACAAATACGTGTTTCTTCTGTATTTGTTGTCAGTTAAGCGGCTGCTTACGCTTCTTCTCGCTAAACAATACTAAACTTAAATCTCACTTGAAAACATGAAAACTGTGTTTTCCTTAAATACGAGTTTGTTTACTTGAAAGAGGAAACCATGAAAATACCTGATCTTGTTTGCTTTTGTGACATTTCTCTCATTTCCCTTACTTAAAAGTAGTTATTTAAAAAACATCCAGCAAAATTCTGTACTAAGTGTCTTTACTAGAAGTCAGTAAGGGAATACAATTATATATAACCCTCTTCAACCTGACCCAACAATGCATCAAAAGAGAAAAAAAGAACCTCTTATGACTTTTATAACTGTCAAAAACATGGTGAACAAGAGTCCCCTAAGGAGTGGACAAAATAAAGTCAGCAAAATAAATTAACGTTCCTTATTAAAAAAAAAAAAAAGATTAAGCTTTACTCCCCAGCTAGTTTTGGATTTCAATTAGTTTATACCCTCCTAGTAACAATCATTTTCCCTTCCTAGTTTACAGAAGCATATGAAACAAGGCATCAAGAATTAGAGGGTCTAACCACAGTATTGATCAGCTTTTGCAGATCTGAAATTTAGGATATAAAGCATCTAATTTCCTTCTGAAAGTATTCAGTGTTTAGGAGGGGACCAAAAAAAAAAGTTCTTCCTCAGCTGTATTTGCTCTCAAAGCTGCTGAGCAAGACATACTTAATGGACCCTAATACCTACTTAAAAGAATCTCTCCCAGTTTTACAATTAGACCTCTCAAATTGAGAAAAAAAAAACCCAAAATAAATTGCTTATAGTAACATCACCCTAGTAAGTTCTATTGATAAATCTAAACATTCTTTTTTAGTTCTAGAAAGTTTTCAAGTTGTCTGTTTGCATTCCAAAAGCAGCCTGACAATAAGCCAGCACAAGCTCTCAGACAGATGCTCTCCCTGAAAAAAGGGGCACCTGTTCCTCTGCCTAACAAACTACCACGTTTTAGATTTTCATCCCTCCCCAAATTAGAGCCATCTTAATTAAGATAAATCTTAGTTCTTCACTTAGGACTTCAAATGTAAAGGAACAACTCTTAATCTTGTTTTTCCCTTTTTGGAGACCCACACTTGATAGCACTAACAGAGTATTTTCCTACTGATACCATCTCATCCACAAGAGTCAAGCCACATCTTCTCAGAAGACTGAGCACAATGAGTGCTCATGCTTCCTCAGGCACTATTTGGCCTGGTTTTTCTTAAAAGGTTATTAGACCTTCCTGTCAGTCTCACTTTCCATGCAAACACCTCCCTTAAGTAGGGTGTTGTGTTCTATACCTTACTGTTTCAAACAATCCAGGATCCCTCCCCTGGTTCACAGTCAACCTCTAAAACTTTGTCCTCAGAATCTTGACAAAAGGAGTTTTGCCCAAGTTTTCTTTTATTACAGGAACAAATATTAGAATTTTGTTGCAAGACAGCTCCCTGTAGATTTCAGAATTTGAGGACAAGCACACTGCTGTGTTCAGCTACAGCAACAGTATGTAGAAATTAATTAAGCACATGAAATTGCTTAAAAAGATAAAACCCTCTAAACAGGCTACTTACACTTGACATGATCCAGAGATTTCTTCCATCTAAGGACTAGATTTTCCTTCAGCTGTAACTGTGCCAGGAACTAGACTGTGCCATATAATCTTTGGGCACAAAGGAGTTGCAACAAGGTTCTTCACAATCCACTGTTTCTTCCCCATGATTGAAGAGACTACATATTTTTAGCGTATGACAGACACAAAAGCAGCACTGGTTGTACTCAGTAGCCAACAGGTTACACTAATAGAACCACTTGAAGCAAGTGTAGAACAGCATCTTCCATCTGGGAAACATCCCCAAAAAGATGCTAGCCAGTGAAACTGGAAATCATCTTTGCGGACTTTTTTGTTTTTACAGATGAATATGCACTCTCTTACAAAGGAAATTGTAGCCAAAAAATATTTTAGTACTTTTCACCCAGTTATTAGTGCAGGGGTACTAAAATATTTCTATTAACACAGGGAAAGGGAGAGTAGTCAACTTGCGAGGCCAGAATTTTATTGTTCCGTAAGTCAATACATAAACATAGCATATTTACCAGAAATTGAAAGTCTGAGTTGCTGACATTAGCTCAGAACTTTCTTGTGCCCAAGAACTCACCTTTTATTCCAACATATAGCAATAGAGTTTGGTAAGTATAAATTTCTTCATGTTAAATCAATTTCACTGATAGGGAATATTTCTTTTAGACCAAGCTAAACATGCCAGTTTGGAAAAGAGTTAGAAACAGACTAAAGCATACACCAGTATGGTAAATTTATGATACTTGGGTTTACAGCAGGCCATCCTCAATTCCCTCTTTCTGTGCCAATTGTACAAACTTGTAAGAGATGAGCACTAGGAGCTCTTCAAAAAATGAAATTTAGTTACTGGAAGAAAGACCTCTATTGCTATTCAACAGTTTCATAAATTTAGTATCAAAAGAACCTAGCTGTTATATCCAGTTAACATTAAAGCAAGGAGTTCTCATGTGTACTCCAGAAAGAGATTGAAGTTCATATGAGACAAACCCCACACGGTTTCCTCATCTTGTCTGCTTTACACTTTTTGGTCACCTCACCCGTCAAATCCAATGCATTTCTGACAATTGCTTAAACCTTTCTGAAATTTCTGCCCAGGTAGAAGTTGTTACTGTATTTAGTGCCATATCCAATTCATTCAGTTTTTCTTAATGCGTCACTAAAATACCATTTATGCAATCTTAACTGAAAACTGATGCATCTCAACAGCATTTAATGAAGTAGCTTGTGTCCCTACCTGCATATGGGATACCAGTTTAGAAATTACTTCCTTTACTATGCAGTAACAGTAAAAAAAAGAAAGTAAGAGTTGAACTGCTGTGAAACCCATTAAAAAGCAGATATAGTCTATTTTACTCATATATTAAAAATAATTTACTTCCCCAAAATAATGTACAATTAGAAGCAGTTCACACTATTTTAAACACAGAGCTGGAAAGTGTTTGAAGAAAAACTATTAAGTCTGAATCACATTGCACTGAAACAGTATCATGAAATGCTTTAAACTTCTGACTTGCAGCAAAACTGCTTGTAACCATGAATTTTTATTTAGTATGTGCACTAGGTAGGCTGTCAGACAGCTGCAAAGAGGAGTCTCAGTTTACTTTCTCCTGCCACCTCCACCACCCGCAAGCATGGTGGCCACCCGAATGAAGATGTTCAGTGTGTCTGTGTAGATACCCATGCACCTAGGAAACAGAAAATCAAAGTTAATATTGTTGAATGGAAATAATATTATTTGATGTTTCACACCATTATACTTCATTTTTAAAAGACTTCATGAAGCATCTGTAACAAAACCCAACTATGATTGCCCTCAGTGCTTGGTATGTCAAAAATCCCCTGTATTTTTGTTCTACCATCTCTGCCAGCAGGAACTATTTCCAGAAGTCTTAACAGACAGTATACTGTTCTCATACAGTAGCCCTCTGCTTTTATGCTGTACTTTTATCTGTTTACCTCCAAGAATTTTGAAGAAGGTCAGTATTACTCTATTTCAAGTATAAGAAAGCAGATCAAGGAAGTAAACAATTCACCTAAGATCAGACAGACAACATTTACAAGCAAACTACCTGTTAGTCAGACTTGGTCTTTACTGAGAGTCAATTAATCCTTCTTTCCCCATCACACTGTTGAAGCTTTTTTATTTAGTGACAAAGACTACTGAATAACAAATGACTATAAAAGAGTTAACATTTTTTGTCTCAGCTGATATTGACAGATATTTTCAGAAAGCAGCTACAAATTCTCCCAGCAATGCTTTAGAAAACAGAAATACTGTTTAGAAAGTACTGCTGGAAGCACGTAACACCACACACTCAATCCCGTTTCTCTCATTTCAGGCAGATGGTTTCAGTTTTAACTCCACTAGCTATTTTCACATTGTATTTTTAAACCCTGTGATTCTTCACATTTAACAGCAATACACTTTTGAACAGTAAACAAAAGGTCTGGCTGCTTTTAAAGCATACTTCCATATAGCTTGGAGCAAATTCTTACACAGACATTGAGATCAGCTGTGTTAACACAGAATACTTACGCATTGATTGGATCATATTTTGTTACTCCATAATATGGAGTAGTTTCTGCACGCTTGATAACATGCTGCGTATCGTAGAGCAGGAACATGCCAAAGAGTACCAATCCACCATAAACAGCTACCGAATACAAGCCAGCACCGAAAGCAGAAGTAGGAGGCAAGAACATTGATCCTGGAGAGGAATGTACAATAGTGTTAAAAGAAAGCTACTATGTGTATCTGCTACACTGAGTTGGGTCAAACTTCAGTTACTGCAGCACACATTTTTCAATGAGTATTCAATTGTCAATCTGTGGTGTATTTTTGATACCGAGAGCTTTGATAGACAAGCTGAAGATGTCACATATACAACCTGATCCAGTAATTTTGAACACTCTATGGAATCGTGTACTTTTCTTCATGTGAAAATACTTGTGTCCCTAGGACTACAACAAAGCCTAGAAACAGATAAGGGAGAAGTACAAGTGGATCAAGAACTAAGCTCACGTTTACTGTCTTCCCTAGTCACTGGCAGTAACTAAAAATACAAGCCACGACTATCGGTCATTTGTCAGATTAACACTTGCCAGAACTGTAACTTCACGTTTGTTTTCAAGAACAAATTTAACTGAGTATTTTCTGCTGTACTAGAGTTGCAAGGGCTATTTAAGGCAAATCTCAACTGGACAGACCAGTCTGCAATTAAACACATGCTGCATCTTAGCAGCTTAAGTTTATAACCTACTTTACCAGACAGTATTAAAACAGTATTTTACCAATTGAAGAGGCAAGAACAAAGCCTAAGCCTATTCCAAGTGGTCCTCCCATGTTCAGAAATTTTTCACTCGGGGCACACATGGCCACAGTTGAGAGCCCTCCGACAATTCCAGCGGTATACCAGGCAGCTCTGATCAGCAAAGGACCACCCAAGAAGGTTAGAGGAGCCACCACTGCACCCATGACACCTAGCCAAAGGAAAACAAAAGAACACCCATAAGATTTGGAATGGTTCTGGTAAAAACACCACCTGCCAAAATATTTTTTTTTCTTTCCAGTCATTTAACCTGGCTCAAACTAATCCAGTTACATGACAAAATACCAACACACTTGATTGTATGCCTATCTAGAATAGAGCACAATAAATCAGCAACCTTAAATTCCATGACCTAATTTTATCTAGCTCTGGAGAATACTTCAAGGAACTGGTCTTTGCAAGAAAGACTAACAAAAGTCAACATACTGATCTGTTCAAAACAGAGCTAGGAAGAGATACTTAGCATCGACTGATCAACTACATAATAGCCAGAGGAATACTCAATGCTGAAATGCAGGAGAGATTTCTGCTACAACAATTAGTTAGACAAGTAAGTCAGACTTTTTGCTAGAGTCTTGTATGAAACTTTCTTCTTGGTAGAAATGTTAGCTCTTGAGAGGCAAATACAATTCCAGTGCCTAACATCTACATGTCTTCCCTGAACCATAAATTACTTCTGGCAAAACAGTTTTGAAAAATGATAGCCATTGTTATTTGAAGTAGGTATCATTAGTGAGAAACTGATCTCTACTCACAGCTTCCGTACCTGATGGGAACACATATAAGAAGCTGCAGTTTCATACTAAAACCTCATTTTTCTAGTCAAGTTTTCAAAGACTTTCCTATCCTGTATAGCTGAAGAACAGTAAGCATAGGCAATAGCGCTTACAGAAGCTATAGTGCCAGAAAGCAGTCACAAAACCAAAGCAGCCATGAAACCAATTAATTCTATCCAATATGTGGCATATACATATCTCAAGTTTAACTTGGAGCATGACTTTTAGAAAATTATGAAAAACATTAGAGCTGTGTTAAGGACACTTAAGAAATCTTCCTGACCTTCAGTTCTCATTGGTCTCTGAAAAAATCTTAACTCTCCTACAGCAGTACATAAAAATCCACCTTAAAGTCAAAGTTTTGTTAAAGTAAGAATCTGGTCACACTGAAGCACAGAGATCTCTAGAATGAACACTAAAGTCACACACCTGAATGCATCATCCAAGCCAAATGTTTAGCTCCTGGACTATTTTCATAGGATATGGACCTGACCAACATTCCAGCACCAATCATAGCTGCAAAAGTTGCACCTATTGCCTGTAAAAACAGCATTACAGAGCTCAAGTTAGTATTAGGACATACGGTCTCTCTTCTAACCTCCTAGTCTAAAAGTCAGTAACATAATTCTGAAAAAAGCAACCTAATTCATAACTGGAGCATTTATCAATTTTACTCCTCTAAGGTTACAGTCAAATCTTTGCAGATCCTAGTTTGCAGTAATTCCCATTTTACTTTTACTTAGTCTTCTAGGAATCCAAGTTTAGCGGTAAGATGGCAACAATCTCTTAGTTGTGTAAGGTAAGAGAAGGAAAAGATATGGTTCTGTCCCTTATTCTAATCCCAAAACATTAGCCTTACTTTTTTCTTGTACATTCCTCCACCCAAAGCCAATACGCAGTTCACGTGCTTTTGCTACCAATGATTTTTAAACCTCCTTGCCTCCTCTCACTGATGATTCCGAGCAGAATCACCCAGCAGCTAGCAAACTGGTCAGAAATGTACAACGTTGATTTATCACCAAGGATGCATTATTAAATTAATCTCCGTAAAAGTATGTAGGTGTTGACATTTAACTATTATTGTTCCACTCCACTTAACACACTGAATATGTACTAAGCAGACACATTTTGTTAGCAGTTTGCCTGGATGATTTGCCTACCAGTATCGTTTCAGCCTTGGCAAACAGGAGACAGCTTTCAAAGAGCTACACAGAAGAGCACAGGGAGGAGTAAGAATACATAGGGATCTCAGCTTCCATCTTTAGAAAGTGACAGAAATAGGGTCATTAGCCTCAGATGGCTATTTATAACAGGTTCTTACTTGCATACAGCTGGTAAGGATAGCACAGCATTTTTTTGCTCATGTAGTTTGTCTTTGACAAACTATCAAAGAAGTATAGAATGTGCATGTCAGCATGTAATTAGAATCACCAAATCTTAAATCGCAAAATATTATTAGGATACTTAAGTAGTCATTACGGATAAGGACACTAGGTTAAGTGAAGTTTTGCCTTACTTTTCACCAAGTAGTTTACCCTTCACATTTTTTATATCAACCATTACATTTGGGGTCTTTCTCAGTAAGTATTTTTATTTTTATAACATAAGCTTACCAGCCAGGAGCCTCTTGTCATAAGGCTCATGAGTGCCGGAGATCTGCTTACTGCTACAGCAGACAGTGCCGTCAAGCCAATGCTTCCCGCAAAGTACATGTAAGTAGACTGGATTCTGTCTTTCACATACTGTGGCCAAATACTGAAAAATAAGCAGTCATACATAGCTGTGCAATTACCAGTATCAGAATGAAGACCAACTAAAAATACAATCAAGCTGTTAAATATATTCATAGCTATGGATATAAGGGAGGTTTCATAATAATGGTGTGGTCTAGAAACTTCTGTGATGAGTTCACCTTACAACAGGGGGCTGAACTTTTAAATCTTGCTGGTCTAATGTAACATAACTCTCTAGAAACTCTCTAGAAAACTGCAAATTACAAATAATGCTAATTATAGTTCAATTCTAAGGAGGAAGCATACATGGGAAACAGAACAATGAATGCTTTTTAACTATGGAAAAATAGAGACTGGTGTATACATAACAAACTGGTTTAAGGAAGAACGTCTGCAGAAAAATGGGCACTAAGTAGCCTGCTGAGCGGCTCACAAATTGCTGAGTCACAGTGCACGTGATTATCTGACATCACAAGACACAAATGTCATTTTGAGAGCTTTAACAATAGCAACAGACCTAGACGTGAATGAGAATTTCTGCAGTATGATTTGGTCATACTACAGACAGGAAGCTTTCCCTGCTAAACCTAAACATAGTGCACACATTTTCTCCCATTTTACTCTTTTGACCCATTACTTCAAGGCTTGTGGAGAAAAAAGTTACAGATAGCTGCATCAATGAAAAGCTTTTTATAGATACAACTAGCAAGCATTCAATAGGAATGCGGATGGTCACTTCCAAATATAAATGCAGAGTAAGTAAAGCAAAATGTCTCCAGCACTAATTTCTCCCAAGCCCACGCTTATCACTAACCACCTTTTAAGTCTAAGTAACTATATGGTTTTGCTATGAGAGTCAGGTTTTTGTTGGCCAAAAAGCAATACACCAGAGTTTTAAGCAAAACATATTTACTAGAGCAGGGCTTATACCAAGATAAGTAGTGTGTTCAAAGGAGACTGTCTTTCCAACGTGCTGTATTAAAGTTTAATGAACAGTCTTACAGAAACACTAGGCAAAGTGGTCTTAACAATATGTTTTACAGAAGACTACCCTTCATAAATTATCTGTGGCACACCTCATATTTATATACTCTTCACAAATAAATTTCAAATATAGCAAAACAAAGGAACTCACTTAAGTCAATATCCATTTAATCTTGGGTAATTTAAGTTTTGCTTTCAGTTACACGCTTTGAAATCCTGCACAGAGGTGAGGGTTTTCTGTCCAGAGCTTAAAAAAAACGTAAGCTGTGTGTACACTGGGTGATACCAGCTAAAGAACAGATGGATATAAAGAGAAGGGAGATTCACTTAACATACTCTTTACTTAAAACAGTAAGCTATCTTACTTACACAGCTCTTTCAATAGCTCCAATCTCACTGGACATGCCCATTCCATAGTAACAGAGGGCCCCCAGGCCAACAGCAGCCCCTCCAGCAACAATAAATTTCCCCAGGCGATCAGCTGTATAAAGGAAAAAGAAATCCACACTTTCATGAATTCTTTTTCTTGGATAGTTAATAACATCCTCACACGAGTTTTACTGTATCTGCAATAGCTGATCCATGTTGGGCTTCTTCCTTAAAGCTCCACTTAACTTCAAGTCACTGCATTACCAGTTCTCAATGAGCTACATGTAAAAACTCCAGATTCAGCCTACCAACACAATATAGCTTCATAAAACAGAGTAAGAAATAAGAGACCAGCTAATAACATGCCAGGTTTACTGACCTTCATTGCAGTAACAGGAATTCCAACACAAAACCAGTTAACAGGTTCTCCAACATAAGAGTTCACCTCTCAGCTGAATGTACCATTTCACTATCCAACTCGCTATAAAACAGGAGAAAAACTAGACATTGTGTCCTTTCCTCTCACTCGTCTGCCCTTAATGCTTGCTCCTTCAAGAGCTCTTTGGTAGCAATTAAATACGAATCAGTTTAAAAACGGATTTCTAAAGCTAATGGGCAACAACACGATTTATTATCTGTTTCTACTGTCTGACTTTTAGACATACTGCCTGTGTGCCACATATCAGATTACTACTACAAATACAAATATCAATCATAAAATAGTTATAACTGAAGTAAGAGCAGCTGAGAACTGAAGTAAGAGCAGCTGAGACCAAACACCTTCAGTTGTATAGCTCTCTTTAAGACTACATTTTTTCCTAATGTGTTATAGCCAAGACATTATCTAACCAATCTACATATATTCCATTTGTCAATTCAATGCTATTATAGGACATTTACAAGTCTGTTCTGCTGAAAACTGCAATTTCAAAAACCCCTTTGTAATCCATGGAAATTACAATCCACACTAGATGTACTAGCAAGCACAGTAAGCTAATGCCTTACATAACACTGTAGCACCAGAAATGTTTTTTTTTTTCCACAAACTGTACATGTTGTAGAAAAATCCTTCCTTGAAACAATATACAAAGTAGATGCAGAAAAGCAAGCGTTAGTGTATTTTTTAATATCTGCAACCAAGTCTCCATTAAGAGACAACCATTTTTGACATAATAGTTCTCAACAGTTTAAAGTAGAGACAACAATAAGTTTCTCTACACTGTGACATATTTGCAGCTTTAAACTTTACAAGGTAAGACAAGCAACTGTCTCCAGTTGTTTGAGGGAGATCACTATGAAACAATATTCTCAGTCTCTTCAATGGTTTGAAGAAAATCGATTCCTTTGAGGAAGACTCAAGTTAAGCTTCAAAGATTCTCAGTATTTAAAGCAGAGCTACACTACCTTTAAGTGCTGTTTCTGCAGATGGCTCAAATGCTGCTTCTTTAATTTCCTGGCCAATTTTTCCACGCCTTACACCCGTTCTTACTCTGGTGGCGTAACACTGTTAGATTCAGAAATAACATAAGAAAGATTCAATGAAATAAAATAGAAGACATTTCTTATCAATTTACTTGCTACACTTAAAATTGCCACATAGTCTCTTATTTATCTGTGCTTACCTCCCAAGACATGAAGCACTTGTGCTCAAGGAAAACAACTGAATATTAAAGTTTAGGAAACTTTAGAATGTGTGAATGCGGTTCGTAACAGTACAGAACCAATGCAGCGAATTTCAGAAGCCGAAGTTTTCAGTTTGCATTTCTTCTACTCTAGACCCACTGTACTAAACAAGGCTTTTTTTTTTTTCAAATGTAAAAACACACTCTTTACTTCTTTATTTAGTAAAAAAATTATTTTGCTTTCTACATAAATGTAAACACTTCTATAAGAAAAAAATTCTTGTACAATACTTATACTTTACAGACACTAAATTTGGAAAAGCAGCATGAATTCTTTGCTTTCAACTCCAGCCTTGATTTAGAGAATAAACCTTGAATGAAGGCCTATAAACTTAAGATTTTTAAGGCTGACAAGCTCCAAATAAATGTAGCATGCTTCTCAAAGTCTTAGTAAGCTGCAAGAGCAACACAGAATAAACATGTATTTAAGTTCAGAAACAACTTTTGAAGTTTCCTTACCATTTTTTCCAGCAATTTCTTAATTATTATGCAAGCACCTGAGCAACCAAAGGCTCACTCAAAGCTGCGAGTTTGTTTTAATACTAAAACCTGAAATCTGCAAGTATTGCTATCATCAGCCATTAGAGCAATAAAATCCAGGAAGTTTACCATAGCACTTCAGTTTTGTTGTGTTTTACATCTAACGAAATCTAGCCCAACATTATAATTATGTAGCACTCGCCACAGAAATAAAACCACCACAAAAAACCCCAAACCCAACAAGAAAACATGGACACCCCCCCCCCGACACACCTACAAACTTAGGATGCTTAAAACAGTTTTCTATGCTTAAGAGAAAAACACAAAGGAGGTGAAGAATTTGCTATTGGCACTTTGACCAAGATGATGACACAAGGGCAATGCCTCCTAACAGTTACCTGGGCAGAAAGCAAAAAGCAAACATCTTCTCTCAACAAAGAATAAACAGACAGTGTCTTAGGACAACGGCAGTCCAATTTTTAAAATTGCTGGTAAGACCCACGATAGTCCTGCCATAGTTCAGAAATTGCTCTAGCCTGGGCTACAGCTCTAAACACATATTGGGACTAAAATCTTCAAAAGGAAGTTTTTACTTTAATACTATATTTTAGACTCTTACTTGGAAACAGGGAGCTAGGAGGAGATCAGACAAGAATTTCTGCTCCTCCCACCTTACATAGCAAGGCTTGTCCATCACTACCTACCTCCTTTAAGTTCTTTCTTCCAGTAATTTCAATGGGGAAATAATCATTGGAATAGAAGATATTATTTCAATTGCTCTTAAAACCCCTGTTTTTTGATTGAGTAACACTCTCCCTTCAGTAAATTAGAGCAGGTACCTCAAACAAGCAGAAGGCTCGTGATCATTCAAATCAGGTACTCCATACAAAGTGATTCTTTTGGCAAAACACTCAACCCTTTAAAATATCAGCAGTCAGAACCATTAGAAAGAGAATTACCTTACCTGGTTAGGCTGCCACAGCCTGTATGCTTTTATATTGGAGTTCCTCAAAGCTGGGGAAGCCTGAGTAATGGTGGGGCGGACAGTCTGGCATGATAATGCCCTCAGGCATACTAGCCTTGCAGCCAGCATGGTTGCTTAGGTAATTTAATACACTGTGTTCCTGCAAGTACACAAGAAAATGTGCTTTACTATATTGTTATATGGTTTTCGGACAACAAGGTACGCTTACTGCTTATTCTCAACTACACTACAGCCTATTATAGAAATGGTATTGCCACTAGAGTACTATAGTAAGAACCAAAACCTTCTTAAATATGCAGTTCAGCTCTGTTCTATCTATATTCGTCTCCCATTTCCACCAGAGACTTATCTCTCACAACTTACCTGAAAACAGGAGGACGTACCACTTTTCATACATATAAATTACATCAAGACCCTTTATGTACTTATGTTTCAGTTACTTTGGCAATTAACTTTCATTTTGAGACGTAACACTGCGTGAGTATTCTGCCCTCCGAACAGGGCATCTTCAAAAAGATGCTCCAAATTTACATAAACTTCATATAAGCATAAACCCAAATAAATAAACAGCATAACATATATGGTGGAAAAAATTTTAGAGAGGTTTTAAGCTATCCTTTAAAGAATTAATTAGCTTTATAGACATAGCATTCAGTCAAGGTCACAGCCCAGAACACAAGTTCAGGTCATGTTGTGCAGCTTTGACCAGAGAGCAATGACGCCACTCACGGGCAAATCGACAGCATAAGCAGACGCCAGCCTGTGTATTCTATAGGTATTAAAAATGCTAGCTTACTTCCACAAATAGTGCATGCATTACACATAAAAAACCCCCCAAATCCTCATAGTTACACGTACTTTAATTATGACTACATACAACCTCTGATATGACAAGATGCCCTAACTATCAATACACTTTTTCAAACAACTGTTCATAGCTTACATGTACAGTGTCCAATGTAATTTAAGAGCATTCTAAATAAGGTAACTTTAAACATGCATGAGAAACGAGCACCCACAGCATTGGACAGCTAGTATTAACCACAAAAAAGTGAAAATGAGAAAATAATCCCGCTGCTAGAAAAAGTTACTGTGCTTTGAAACTCAGTTATGAAATCCTACTTTTACAAGTACTTTCAGAGACACATCCTGTTTCCGTCACTAAACCCCACTTTTCCACTGGGATGATACAGTTTGCAGGAACTTACAGCGACAACTCTGAGATTTTTATTTTTATTTTTTGAAACTGATACTTTGAGTAAGACGACTTCAAGCATTAGATTAAGAACAAGGATGAAGGACAGCAGAGTGTTAAAAAGAAAACAAAACACCACCAACATTCCAGCATATTAACTAGCGAATACAGCAGTAAGGAAACGCTGCCAAGTCCGCGCTGCACCAAAGCACGAGGAAACCCTTCCAGCCTAGGCAGGGCGGCGAGGAGCCCTGATGGAACAAGGAGGCGGCCAGCGCCCACCTCAGGCCTGGGCCAGGCCGCGGGCCCTCACTCGCTTTCGGCCCAGGC